AGTAGTTCTTATAATGTCCAGCTGTCACAATTCAAGGGCAGGAGGTGCCTGGTGGAGCTGGTTTTTTGGCAAAGCTGTTGGAATGAGCCCTGCTTCCCATCTCTCCTCCTGGGGCAGTCTCACAGAATGGCTGCCCCCATTAAGAAGTTAACAGAAAATTTATTGCCATAAGGTATGGTGAAATAATAATCATCATAATTTGGTAGTGTATAGTCACCCATCCTTAAACAGACCCTGGACAATTTTCAATAAAATACTAACAGCACAATATAGAATAATAATTAAAACCAATAGTAAATAGCAGCTGAAGAAACAAAGAGCAGCTTCCTTGTATAAAATAAAATAGTTTACAGCCTGGATTTAAAGCACATCATCATCATCATCATCATCATCATCATCACCATTTATTAGAATTATAGTGATCAATGGTGGCAGCCCCTTACACCGATGACCCTAAAATATAACCTTCATGCCAATAAGGTCTTAGCCATGAGAGCCAAATGGGCTCCCAGTGACCAAGCATGACTGTCTCCACTGTGCCCGACTTTCCCAGAGACATTTGGTTGGCCATGGCTGGAGACGGAGGCCTGGCCAGGAAGACCTTTGATCTTACCCAAGAAAGCAAAATGTGACAAGAATGAAGGTTAGAAGCTACAGCTGGCAATCCAAGAAGCTTCCACTTCTGCCGCTCCCCTTTTAGTAACATGCAGTATAGCAGATGGGACCCACGAAAAGCAGACTGGTGTGAGGAACTGGTTGCTGGTATGGAAGGAGAGAATCATCTGCAGAAGGGCTGGAGAGATCCCCATGTGCAGACTTCAGTTCGCAGGAGGCCCCGTGGAGAGGAATTGTATGCTAACCCCATGTCAGCCTGCATCAGATCCGAGGAATCTGTGCCTCTCCAGATGTGGCTGGACTGCAGCTCCCTCCATCGCTGACCACTGGCCATGCTGGCAGGGGGGCGGGGAGCTGGAGTCCAACAACACCTCAGACCCTCCAAGTGCCCCCGTTTTCTCGGGACACCCCTGATTTAGAGAAGCTGCCCTGATTTCTGATCTGATTCCGGAATGTCCTGCTTTTTCTTAGGACATCCCTATTTTCATTGGAGAAATGTTGGAGGGTATGGAGTTATCCGCCCCGCCCCCCCATGCTGCGTGAAGACAATCCTGTATAGGGAAGTTTTTTTTTTAATGTTTAATGTTTTATTATATTTGTATATATGTTGGAAGCCGCCCAGAGTGGCTGGGGCAACCCAGTAAGATGTGTGGGGTATAAATAGTAAAATTATCATTATGGAATGAGACGTCCCTATTTTCAATGGAGAAATGTTGGAGGGTATGACATCTTGAGGGCCATAGAATAGCGCCCCCCCCCCGTGTCCTATAACTTTGGAATATTCTAAACTGCTGAATTGCTAACTGTATCCCTTAATTTAGCAGCCAGGGTAGGTGGAAACAATCATAACTAAAAACAGCACAAGCTCATGTCCTATAAATCACCCATCTCTTTCAGATTAAATGGAGCCAATTTATTCCTCTGATGAAAACAGTTTAGTTTACAGTAGCTAAAAGCAATGAGTAACATTTGGCCTTGGTTAAGATTCAATGGCTCAGCAAGCAAAGCAAGTTTAAGACTTTATTTTTACATATTTTTGCAGCAGTTATGTCTAAGGAAAAAAGTTACTAAACAAAGAAATAATTGTGTTGATAAGACACAGCAAAGTAACCTAACATTGAACCCAGCAAATGTTTTTGCTGATATAATTCTATTTTAATTTATGACCTTCAAGCTGATACTATTGTTCACACAGCATTTTAAATATTTAGCTTGGAGTTGCAAGCTCTCGATACATTGGCAAGCAGCAAAGGCAGCAAGGCTTGTCTTTTTTTATCCATTACTTTACAAATAGCTGTTTTTATTATTTCTGTAAAACATCTGCTTGGATGTGCATGGTTTTGTTTTTAAAGAAAGGCTATCACCAGTTATGTTAGGGGAAAACCCAAAGTTAGAAGAGTTAAATTCTCCTCAGAGTATCATGATGTGCGCATAGCTCAGCAATGACATTCTCATTACTGAATGGCTACAATATTGAGATCCAATATGCCAAACAGAACTCATACATCAATCGCATCGCCTGAAATGCAGTGCTGGTCAGTGAGGCTCACTGGTTCACACATTCTGATGTGAGGTATTAAATGATGAGTACATGACCCCTCTTTCATGGCAGGTGGGCGGGTGGGTTCTCAGTCATGCACTACATGCATGCAACCTGTGGCAAAATGCTTGTTACAATGCCTGATTTTGAATGCTTGATTTTGTTTAAACAAATCAGGAGGGCCCCTGCTCAGCTCTTGCATGCAGAAGGTCTTGGTGTCAGTCTTCCTGGCATTTTCCACGAAAGCATATTTATGGTATGGGAAAGTCAAAGTGCATAACAGTTTTACAAACCACATTATTAGGAAGAATTTATATATGGTATGGGATAAATACAAAAAATTGTTAGAAAGGAAGACACCGTGGTGGCTTTCCCCACTTGAGGCTATATCAGTGGGGAGGATGGGACATGAGACGTATTAACACAAGTAGCTCAAGAGATAAAATTAAAGAGGTTTGGAGAGCTAGGGCAACAAGTAACTGGCTACAATATCATCAAATTAATGAAATATTTAAGTTGGACAAAAAGAATGGTTTTTCGAATCTCTAAGCAATACTTCAGGGATGTGTGTGGAGCTGTGGTCTAAACCACAGAGCCTAGGGCTTGCCAATCAGCGGTCAGTGGTTCGAATCCCCGTGACGGGGTGAGCTCCCATTGCTCACTCCCTGCTCCTGCCAACCTAGCAGTTCGAAAGCACGTCAAAATGCAAGTACAGTGGTACCTCTAGATACGAATGGGATCCGTTCCGGAGCCCCGTTCGCATCTAGAGGTAAACGTAACTAGCGATGGCATGTCTGCACATGCAAGCGTCGCTTTTCGCTGCTTCTGCGCATGCGCAAGCAGCAAAACCCAGAAGTAACGTGCTCCGTTGCCACAGAGTGCATCTCGAACGTGCTCAACTTGAAGCTTATTCAACCTGAGGTATGACTGTAGATAAATAGGTACCGCTCCTGCGGGAAGGTAAACGGCATTTCCATGCACTGCTCTGGTTCACCAGAAGTGGCTTAGTCATGCTGGCCACATGACCAGGAAGCTGTACGCCAGCTCCCTCGGCCAAGAAAGCGAGATGAGCGCCGCAACCCCAGAGTCATCCGTGACTGGACCTAATGGTCAGGGGTCCCTTTACCTTAAGCAATACTTCTAGGACCAGAATGAAACGTTATAGGGATAATGGGCATCCTTGCTTGTTCCCTTCTGTATTTCACCAAAGAGCGCTGGCCCCAAACTTGGATCTTGGCACCCAGGCAGGGGCGGGCAAGCAGCGTGTGCCCCTGAGGGGGGTGGGGCATGGAGGGAGCCCACTGCACCTGGCCTGGCTGGGCGCAAGAAGGCTGCCTTGGAAGCATCCTCGCTCGGTGTCGCCTAGCTGAGGAGAGGGGTGGCAACGCTGTTGTTGATTCTCCTTTCTCTGCACCTGGGTCAGGCTTGACCCAGGCGCGGGGCTGCCAGTTGCAGCCCAGCCGCTTGTCGGAAGTGAAGGCTGGGTAAGTGGAGGGTGAAGAGCACTGTCTGTGCCTCACCCAGCCCTCGCTGCTGACAGGGGGCACTCACGCACCAGGCACTCACCCACCTGCACAATGGAGATCTCTGCTGGGTATGTGTGCCTGGTTTGCACCCCCCTACCCATTGTGTGCCTGGGGCAACAGCCCCCCCAGCACCTCCATGCTACACCAGTGCACCCAGGGGATTCTCCTTTTATACCGTCTCCCCCTTTCAATCCACATAAATAACCCGTTTCACTAGAAAACCAAAGGAACACTAACATCAAAATTGCAATTTTATGATATAATTCCACACTATGCAGAGCCCTTGTTGAAGACTCACTTGTATGGCAGTTTTTGCACCCTTCTAGTTGACAAGGTCTCCTGTGAGGGGCATGTCTGGAGCCCCATAATAGCAACTCTGTTGTTTTCCTTGCTAAAGTTCTTTTTGAAATTGGTTGGATAAGTGCCCTGGCCTACCAAGCGGCTCTTCACAGCCTAACGCTATTTCAGTATGCAATAAATAAAATTTCCCAAGAAACAATCTGCCATCTCCCAAAAAAGGCCTAGGTTGATGAGAATTTCATTGATAGGATGCCCCAACAAAATTATTCCTAAAACTTTATATACCTTATCTAAATTCAGTAGGAGGAGAGATTGGGTGATTGCATGCTGACTTCTTGGTCACTTCATGCCTGCTAGGCCAAATATGATGCACTATGCAATGGTTCAAAAGTTGGGAGCTGATCACAACATTTTTGGCCTTTTAAAGCACAAAATCTAGACAATCTTGTTTTTCTTTTGGGGGGGGATGAAATGTGCAATCCCACTGGGCAGAGAATCACATGCTACTTGCTCAGACATGATTCATGCAACTTGATTTAGTAGACAAATCATAAGTTTCCATGAAAAAGAAACTGTATGATATTTATGACCCAGTACAATATGATATTTTAAGCTAGATGATTGACTTGTTGATGAACCAAGCAGCAGTTTGGTCAGTGTTCTGATTGCCAAAGCTCTCTCAAGTCAGTGAAATATGCACTCGTGGAATTGGTGTCTCTGTGTTTCCAAGAGAGCTCAGCAGCACTCATTTTCTGGCAAGCAATTCACATCCCATCGTCCTCTGAGTCAACTGGAAGAGACCTCATGCTTTCCCCTCTCCTATCAATCCTGCTTGCTGTCGGACCATGAATAAACATGCTCCCGCTATTTTTAGCTTGACTTTGGCCTTTGTTACAGAAAGTTTTAAGAATTTCATAAGTGCTTTTCCACCAGTGAAATGCAAATGCATATGAATGGCAGCAAAATACTTAGGGGTGATGTTTGATTCTCATATTTTGGTGTTTCATACAGGAATTAATGGGAAGAGAAACTTAGAGGGTTAGAAATGAACACCCCAAACCCAGCGTAAGGGAACTGCTTGCCCTTGGATTAGAACCATGCTGGAATGGAAATAATTTATTTTTATGAAGCCACTATAATTTTTTTCACTATTGTCAGGAATGCGTATGGTTGCTCACGAAGTAAACAGCCCAGGACTCTGACCTGCCTTTTACAGGTTTTATTGTGTGCAAAACTATGTACAGTGCAGAAGTCCAAAGTGCATGTCTGCCTCAATCGCTAGCAGATTCCGAGAGTGGGTTCTTCCGGTTTCCCCTCCAGAATAAAAACCGGGGCACCCCCACTCTCCTCCTCTTTTCCTTACGCTTAATTCCCTTGTGAAAACTATGCAATGGAAGCTGCACGTCACTCTCCCTTTCTTGCCTGGGATAGGTGCTGTGGCTCACAGAAGCCTCTGTGAGCCTTTGTTCCACCCCCCCTTGTCTCTTCTTCCATTCCTCCTGAGGTGTCGCCTTCACCAGTCTTTGACGAAGTGCTGCTGCTCAGCAAGGGGGGAGGCTGTCTGTACGTTCCTGCCTCCCTCCCCTCTCTTGATGGCAGTTCCCTGACATCCATGGACTTCCAGGTTCATATGTATTATACATGTATATTGTTTAAGATCAGTATCTGATACCCAGTTTTTCAGTTGTACAAAATAAAGTGAAAAAAAGAAAGAGAAGAAACATAATACAATATGTGAATATATGTGGGAAGGTTTACTTTAGCAGAGTTAAACAATCCCCTTTATAAGTTTATGCAGTGATCAGCTTGTTGCATTGGCTATATCAGGTCTGCATGTGGTAACTAAATACAAAAGTTTACCAATCATTGACTGATACTCATTGTTGTCTGGCAACGGGTTTGAATTCTCCTGATTCTTTAAGAAGTCAGTGGCCATGGGTGTAGCAACTGTGTTTGCAACTTGCATCTGCATGCTTTCAATGAGGTCATGGATTTTTTGCCTTTGATTCAGTCGTCGTACATAAAGTACTCATATTTGCAATCACTGGGCCTTTTCTTTGCAAATTGCTTGCCAATGGGGATTCCTTGGGTGAATTTCCTGACTCCTCCTCTTCTAAATATCTCATCTTTGTCCAATACTCCGGTGGTTCTATAGTTATCATTCTGTTGTGGCCATTGGGTCTATTATCAGTCTCTGCCTCCGGTTCTTTAATCTCTTTCAATGTCTGGCTCATAAGATCAAGCCTCTTGATAACTGTTGCTCTTCCTGAGGGAGATTCCTAAAGGAGCTGAGCTGAGCTGAGAAAATCCTCTTCCAAAGGATTTACAGAGTGCTCAGATTCCTGAAGATGATTATCTAGAGGAATCGGCTGTTCCTTTTGGCTCACCTGGTTATTTTGATGTTGGGCATGATCCTGCGAATTCAACTCAGGCATGTCTCTTTCCTCCCCACCTGTCAAGTTTTTTTTTGTGATGTTATTACTTCCATTGGGGATCCAGGCGTTGGTTTTGTGGGCCCCTCTGAAGCACCAGTCCTCATCTTACATAAGGGTGCAACAATAGAATTGCGAAATACCCGGGTTGGAAAAACTCCTCTGCTTGACAATCTGAAGTTCAGCTTGTGAATCAGTGAGGGCAGTCTAGTAGAGGAAAAAGTTAACATAATTTTTTGGCTTTGATTTATGGTATTCAAGAGTTCAGTCCTAACGAGATCGATCTCTGTAAGTCCAATGCCAAGTAAGCCTGATAAATGTCGTTTGGAATCCTGGGCACCTTTCCAGCTGGGAGTTTGATCTGGCCTTCCACAAATTGTCATGCAGATCTTTTTTGGTTGGAAGATTAAATAAGAAGAATTTGTTTTAAGAGCCTCTGCGCATTCTATGTTGAGCTTAGGGGTCTGCTCTTCTTGTCGCCAATTCCCTTTGGTACTATGGTGTTCTGTTGATGCCTGCTTGTTATTAACTGATAAACTGTGGACCTCTTTGGATAATTGGGTTATTTGAGAGGCAATACCTCTAATTTGTTGGAAGATATGCTCAACCGTTCTTGCAATTAGAGTTAATTGGGTGCTCTCCCTACTTGTTATTCCTTCCTTTCTGAGCGGCACAGGATCAACTTGCCCCATTGCTGGATCCAGTTCCATGCTCTCACCTTGAATACTCTCCCCACACTCACAATCATCTTCAAGAGGAGAAAACCGGTTTTTTGTTGGAACTATAAAAGCAGATTTGTTTAAAAAGTCCTCTATTTTAGATTGTTTGGGAACTGGTGAGAGAGCTACATCCTCTGGGTCCCTGTGGCGTTTACTAGCAGGCATAGCGTCACCGTGGGGAGTAAACAAGGAGAGGTTCCCCCAACCAAAAAAGAGAGGAAAAAATAGAAAGTGCTCAGTTTGTTCAGTTTAAGAGCTTCTCTGTGTGGAGACTGCCAGGAGTTTTCAGGAACAAAGTATAGAAGGGAGTTGGCGGTTAATACCTAGCAGCTGGCGGCCTGCCCAGGATGCTTCACAGAACTTGCCCAAGATGTTTCTCATAGCATAGACAAGAAGGTGCTGTTAAAATCTCAGTAGGTTGGTAAGTTTAAAAGTAGAGAAGTAAAAAAGGAAAAATTACTTCCCTGGGTGGCAGTCAATGCTAATTACAGTCCTGTTATCTGCGGAGCTCCGAAGCCTGCTTGCTAAGCTGTCGCCATGGCGGCTAACAGATTGAGGTTGAATCCTGACAAGACAGAAGTACTGTTTTTGGGGGACAGGAGGCGGGCAGGTGTGGAGGATTCCCTGGTACTGAATGGGGTAACTGTGCCCCTGAAGGACCAGGTGCGCAGCCTGGGAGTCATTTTGGATGACTGTCCATGGAGGCACAGGTCAATTCTGTGTCCAGGGCAGCTGTTTACCAGCTCCATCTGGTACGTAGGCTGAGACCCTATCTGCCTGCGGACTGCCTCGCCAGAGTGGTGCATGCTCTGGTTATCTCCTGCTTGGACTACTGCAATGCGCTCTACGTGGGGCTACCTTTGAAGGTGACCCGGAAACTACAACTAATCCAGAATGCGGCAGCCAGACTGGTGACTGGGAGCAGCTGCCGAGACCATATAACACCGGTCTTGAAAGACCTACATTGGCTCCCAGTACGTTTCCGAGCACAATTCAAAGTGTTGGTGCTGACCTTTAAAGCCCTAAACGGCCTCGGCCCAGTATCCCTGAAGGAGCGTCTCCACCCCCATCGTTCTGCCCGGACACTGAGGTCCAGCACCGAGGGCCTTCTGGCGGTTCCCTCACTGCAAGGGGGTGGCATCTTGGGTAAATCTTATCTTGGGTAAATCACCCTCATCTGTGTTTGTAGGCTTTTTATAGCATCCAGGACTCCTTTTGCATCTAGAAGTGCTATTAAGTGTTGCTTCCAGTGCACAAAATTATGTTCATTTAGCACAGGCAGGCCTCGGCCTAGATCACTATCAACTAGCCATCACACTAGCCATCTCAAAAATATAAAACAGATCTTCACTGCCTTAGGTAACTGTAACCTCTGAGGGAAGGGAGAGGGTTGCTTAATCCCCACTGGATAACCAGGAAGTAAAAAAAGAAATTACGCAACTCTGGGCCCATAATCCATTGTGGGAAGGTTTACTTTAGCAGAGTTAAACAATTCCCTTTATAAGTTTATGCAGTGATCACCTTGTTGCTGACTCATCTGAGTTCTACTAATAAAGATGCCTTCCTGGTTAAAAATCCCTTTGAATCCTTCTTAAAGAATACACAAACAAATCTGATTCATGTTAATATAAAACTATTTTACTCTCAGATTTATTCAGGTTTACAGAGCTGTACATGAAGGCAGGCTTAGGTTACATAACAAGCAAATAAACTATACCAACTCAGTTGGTCCTGAGGTGACTGCAACTGAGCAGTTATATTTCAAACCTACCAGCAACCGACGAACTAGTTGTCACAGCAACATGGAGGCCATTAATCCTTTGTCGGAATGTTGCACTTGACTGCACCTTTACATCCCACAATATACAGGGTGAGTCTTTTAAAAGAGGCCCTGTGGAACATGTGTACTCTGTATCCACAGGACCTCTTTTAAAGGACTCACCCTGTATGTGTGTGTGTGAATATGTATATAATTATTAATAACCTACCATATTCTGTATAAACTTGTTCCAAATGTCAATATATTTATCTGAACAAAGTCTGTGTCTATAAGCAATCTGTTCATATGTTGGGAGTGCTGTCATGTCTTCAATCCATTAGTTAAAGCTAACAGGACCAGTGGTCAGGGATGATGGGAAATGTAGTCCCAAAACAGATGGAGGGCCAAGTTTGGCCATCACTGGGTTAAAGGAAACCATAGTTTTGTTCTTCCAGTTCATCAATACCAGTCTTTTGGCTATAGTTGGGGCATGTAGAATTCATTTTTGTTGTCCAGCTGTCAACTTCCATATAACAGGTATACAATTCAAAAGAATATTTTCTTCTGAAATTTTCAAGTTTTTCCATACAGTCAGATTTGTACAGTTCAACACTTTCTCCCAAAACCTAGTGAGAAAAAGTCATTGTAAGAACATATGCTTCAAAGAGGAAGTATCCTTATTACATCTCAAATAAATACTAAACCAAGACTTCTACAATACAAAATAATATTTAGAATCTATTGTGCTCCACTACATTTGTCTATAAAAGGACTGTCTAGCGCTGCTCTTTGTTGGTGAAAGTAATAGACTCTTAACATCCACTATTTGAATTTTGACTGTTGACTCGATACAGTCCATAATATTTGACACCTGTTGATATTGGACAGTAAATTATATATATTTAGTACTGGATCTTCACTGTTTGATAAACTGTAACAGCTAATTAAATTTGGTGCTCATTGTTTTACCAGTAATGCTAGCTGATATTCAGTATCAGTAGTTGGACAATATTTGATGTACACATGTGCCATGAGATTCCAGTTATCACTTGTTGTTCTTGGCATCCATTTGATGGTTGCAGCGCCTGCTGTGGCTGTAGAGACAGGAGATGCAGGAGAGACAGTTTTGTTGCAGCTGGGGCAGAGGAAGGCGTCTGGTTGTGGTGCTGCAGATGCACAAGCCTGGGCAGTGTGTCTGGAGGTCCTGGACTGCCCAGATGACAAGACACCCCCCTTCAGCTTCTCTAATATGGTCCAAAAGGAAGCAGAGCAATACATTTGGTACCAGCTTGGTTGCAAAAGTTGCCAAAAGGAGGTGTACAAGATGCCACTACATGATTTCTATCGACGCATATCTTACTTTTGTGCTCTTGTAGTTTTGAAGTCTTTTGATGATCAGCAATATTTCACCCAATTGCAAAAAACTTGTGAGTTTGTCAAAAAAATGAGTTTGATCATTTAAAAAAAAAGAGTGAAGTAAAAGGAGAGAGAAAAATCAACTTTTTTCCTGGGGCTGTTACAATCATATCACTAGGCTAGGGCATCTTGTAATGCGAAAAACTCTCTTACCCACTCTGATAACATATGATATGATTCACAACCCACATAGGAATAGCCTCTCTGATGCTTGGAGATATATAAGACTTGTTGGTTCATGTTTTGCATAGCTGTGACCTCGGGTATTCCAGTTCTGCATTAATGACATTCTGGGCTAGTTTAAACATTTCACTACACTTACAACTATATAATGATGTGCAGTAAACTGCAAGCAAAAATACTCCCCCCCCCCCGCTTAGTTAGAAGAAAGGTTGAAGAGGAAAGAAGGTGGGGGTTTTTTGCCTGCAAATGAAAAATAAACATAAAGACTATCCTGTTAAGGGCACATTAATAGTTACAAAACAGCCATCAGAATTAAAACATAAAACTACTAGAAAGGGGAAATACACAGTCAAATATCTTTTTAAACAGCTGCCTCTTTGATAGTGGTCTAAAGCGGTAAGTGAGGAGGCCTGATGGAACTCATTTGGCAAGGCCTTCTCCTGGAAGGAGGCCACTCCAGGAAAGGCTTGAGCGCCTCATGGTGTTGAAAGGTCTGGAGCAGAGCTTCATGGGACAATTGGAGCATGTAAGGAGACTCCTATGGAAGAAAGTGCTCCCTAAGGTACCCAGGTCCCAAACAGTTAATATCTTTAAAAGTTAATGCCAGCAATTTGAATTGAGCCTGAAAACAAACTAGCAGGCACTGCAGATGACACAAAGGCTGTGTCATACTGTAGACTCAAAATTCCCAACACCATCAGCAAGCCAGTTGCTGCTGCAGTTTGCACTAGTTGAAGTTTTCCGATGTTTTTCAAGAGTAGTGCCCCCACCCCCATCTGAGTCTGGTCCTCTGAGATGTCCCCAGTCTGACGAGGGTTGATCCAGTACCAACCCAACCTGGATTCATGCCCCAAGCGGAGACTCTTGTGTGCTGCTTAATTCAGGTTTAAAACTCTATTTAAACATGTGGTCAGGAGCAACGTGGGTGGTGGGTGGAGGGAGAGGGAGATGCAGGCAGCAGATGTGGTTATAATACCTTTTGCTCTCCTCTGTCTAGGTGCAGGTCCCTGCTTTAACACTCCATATCTCCCCCCCCCTTTTTTTTGGCTTTGGAGCTTTCCCCATGAAAACCCGCTATTTAAAGCTGAATGGGAGCTAATGGCAATTTGGGTTTTCCATGGATTGGCGTTTGCTCTTATTGAGATTTTAAGCAGTGGCTTTTAACAGGGAAAGCTCTGGAGCAAAATAGTAGACACTTTGACACAGAGCTTAAAATCACATATTGTGCCTGGAAAGAGCGGAGGAAAGGACAGTGGGGATAAGCCCAAAGCGTCTTCCACTTACTGATAGGTTCCCAACCTGCCATGAGAGTTTGGGAAACAGAGCCTGAGAATTCCTAGAGCTTCTTTTAGTTGGTTTGGTAATATCTAACCTATGGACAGTGTTAACGGAAAATCTGAGGGCTCCCTTGGACAAAAACAAAGACACCAACCAGAGCAATTGGAAGCAAATCAGCAGCCAGTAGGCTTGGTCTTTATTGAAGAAAAGACTGTTGCAACAGGGTGTTCCCCTCACTTGCAGGAGAGAGGAAAGACCCAGAAAGATGGTGTGCAAGACCTTATAAAAACTTTTGAAATTCCCCTCCTCTAGGTCAAGCCCACCCCCAGAAACATCATGCATACATTACAGAAAGGAGGGGTTGAGGGAGGAGTTGTGGTGGTAACCTGAGTGTCCTGTCACCTGGCTGGTTCCTCCTTTCCCCAGCCCATGAGTCACTTCCAGGAGACAAAGGGGAGTTGGCAGTTTCCTGCCCCCAGAGGAAGATCTGATCATTGTCCTTTGTTTCAGTCCATGCTGAATCCACTCCCATATGCAAGTTCTTTGTGATCTTGATGGTCTTCTGTCTAGGACCATCAGGGTTGGCATAGCAACTGGGCAGGGCTCCGGTGGATGTGCTGGGATGGTGAAGGGATTATGGCTGACCAGAACCAAGCCACCCCCCTTTGATAGTCCTTGTCATATGGAGTAAAATAAAAATGGAACAGTGCAAATCCAATGTATGGTTGATTTTTCTATGAATTTATAACAGAAGTGTGGCATATGTAGTGTGTGAGTGTGAGTGTGTGAAGTTTGTATAAACTGAATGATTGGGGTGGGGGGGTTCCTGCTACAACAGAAAAAATGCCCTAATGAAGTTGCATCCGGAACGGAAGCACAAACTGTAAGCTGACATTATAAGAGGTTTGTGACTTGAATACAAAGCCAGAATGGGAGAAAAAGAAGTGTTGAAAAGAGATGCCATGTATGACAACATTTAAACACTTAATTGGGGCTCTGCTTGCACTGCCTTGGGTTGTGCTCCACAACAGTATCACTACAGGCACTCTGCGCTAATTCCTTTGCGCCATCTGCTATCTGACCACATGGATGTTTTGGCTGTTCTCATTTCCTCAAAAGAACAAAGAAAATGTGTCTTTGAGAGCGTTACCTGCCTTTGGGCAAGTCCATGTATTAGTGGTGGTGGCTAGAGTGATGGAATTGGGTTGATGAGGCCTAGGTTCAAATCCTTTCTCTGCTGTGAAGCTTAGAGGGTGACTGGAGAGGATGGGGTAAAGGACAGCGGGGTTACGTAACATCCTGAGATCTGAATTAAAGCTGCTGGCCAGGAGAGAGAAGGTGAGGCCAGCCTCTTCTGCCATCTGGATCACAGAGCTCAGTCTAGTTGCGGTCAGTTGAGGGCATTTATGAGGGATATGTGAAGCACACACACCCTCGATAAATTTGACTAGTCTCATCTAAACGCATTTGGCTTATTTTGAAATGTCTGGGGAGGAGCATTATCAAATCACTTTAGGCAAAATCTGGTGGGAACATAGAAATTTATGTACATATACATATTGAAACTCTGTTGAAATTGCTCAGATATTTCATCTGAAGAGAATCTGGGGTATTGGCTTAATGTTTTGCTTCAGAGCAACTCTAACCAAGACATGGGAATCAAAGGGCAAACAAGTTTTCTCCAGCCACCTGCAGGCACCACGTTGGAGCATGAGTGTGCTTGTGATGGTTCACTGTATGTCTATTTTGGATATATGTCTGCATGTAAATCCCTTTTAACTAGAGAGGTGAACTTGGGACTTTCTAAATACATTGTGCAGAGCATATGCTCTGTCTCTGAGTATTCCTTCTCTAATAAAGTTAGAATATCAAGTTTATGGGTGCTCATGGTCCATGACAAAGTTACATGCCACCAGGCACATATCAAGTTGGAAACTTGTAATTGGATACTTGGATATGCTGGAGCATTTCTGGTTCATATACATACTTAGGTTAGGTAAAGGTAAAGGTACCCCTGCCCGTACGGGCCAGTCGTGTCCGACTCTAGGGTTGTGCGCCCATCTCACTTAAGAGGCCGGGGGCCAGCGCTGTCCGGAGACACTTCCGGGTCACGTGGCTAGCGTGACGAAGCTGCTCTGGTGAGCCAGCACCAGTGCAGCACACGGAAACGCCGTTTACCTTCCCGCTATAAAGCGGTACCTATTTATCTACTTGCACTTAAGGGTGCTTTCGAACTGCTAGGTGGGCAGGAGCTGGGACCGAAAGACGGGAGCTCACCCCGCCACAGGGATTCGAACCGCCGACCATGCGATCGGCAAGTCCTAGGCACTGAGGTTTTACCCACAGTGCCACCTGCGTCCCATACATACTTAGGTTACTTTTCTTCAAAAATAAAATAAAACAATTCAAAAGAAAACAAATTCAGACTCCAAGTTGCTGACAATGCCAAGGTTGCATATTGATCCCCATAAGGGACAGCTGCATATTCCTGCATTGAAGGGGGTTGGACCCTCAGGGTCCCTTCCTGCTCTATGATTCTATGAGATTCTATGAGACAGTGGCTTTTTGGGGGTGGGGTGGGGACTGTATTCAACCATCCATGCAATACAAAAAAGTTTTGTAACTAGCAGTCCATTCATCTACAATTACAATTGTCTCGTGGGGTCAAGGTCACAAAGACCTTGAGTATAAGACACCTATCGCATAATATTACAAATTATTGATAATGAATGCAATTTATTTCATTCTCTTGACAATTATCACATTTGAGTCAATTTACTTCCTCTTTCATTGCTTTTGGCAGATCACACATTAAATTATGAAGGACTCCAATTTCATTTCAGCATGAGTGCAGTGTCTGCATATTCTAAATGTGGATGCAAAGCCTATTACTTTGCTTACATTGAAATATGAGCTTAGATCACACCTTTTTGTTATTGAGCAGCATATAAATCAATAATAATTATTGTATTTTCAGTTGCAACATTTCCCCAAAGCAAACACAGGTTGCTAAGCTCACCATTTGCGTATTGACAGGCATTTCCATTGCTTACCGGTTCAAGCCAGATGAAGAGGGGAGGGGAGGCTGGAAGCAGATGCCCAGAGGTAGGACCATGATGCCGCTGTGATGTCAGAAGGGACAGCCGGCCAATCAGCAGCCAGCCAGCCAGCCTGCCAGCCAGCCAGCCCCCACTGCTCTTGCTGATGTCGAAGCAGCCTCCTCTGCTCCCTCCTCCGCTGCTGCCAGGGGACAGACCCCTGGGTGGCACTGCAAAACCAGCTGGCTGAGAGGCTCCGGTGCTGACTGAGCACAGGGGTCCCCTTGGGAAGGGGACGTTCATGTTTTACTGTGGGGTTTGCCCTCAAGTTGCAGGTTGGTGAAATGTAAGAACTGATGAAGAATTCATGGCTGCCGGGCTTCACAGGATTTGACTTTAAAAAATAAACTCCTCTCAGTGTACCTGCCCTCCCACTTTACTTAAACTTATGCCATTATTTAAAACAGCATAGCTAGTAATGTTGTTTTAGACATCTCAGGTCCATGACTTACCAGAGTTCCCAACTGGTGCTCCCATGTGGGCAGAAGTCTTCGGTCCTCACTGCCATGGCATTTTGGCTCCCCACACAGGGAGGGGGCAGAGCTTGCTCCCTCTGGGAGCCAATAGAAGGTTTTCTTAGGCCACTGGACTTGGGTCAGACTGAAGGTTTCACTGAGTCTGGTCCACTCCCTTGTCATAAATAGGGACCCCCCAAAAGCTGACCTCATCAGTTTGTTGGCAACTTCTACAACCACCCGGCCTCTTCCTTTTGCTTGTTATGTTTCATTTTTATGCTGTTTCATTGTTATGCTCGTGGGTGAAGTATCTGCAGAATTTGCTGTGGGCTCCAGTCAGACTGCTTCCCTCTCCTGGAATGAAACAACATTTCTGCTCCAAATACCGGTTGCCGCAAACCTACAGGTGAAGAGAAACACACTTGGGCTGTCTCCACAGGCAGAGGACTCAGAACTGTTGAATTCTGTGGGGTTTTATTTGACTCTATATTTGTGCACACGTCTGTGGGAAGAAGCACATCAAACCTGCCAGCTTCATTCATGCCTTCAAGAACAGGAGTGACCTTAGCCAGAAAACTGGCTATGGTTCTGCTGCTCCTGAACTCAGCAGGGTAGGGTGATGAGCAGGTCCACACATGGCATGGAGCCTCCCCTTTTGGGGTCTTGAGATCATTGAAAAGGCTGTAAACTGCTCAGAAGCTGTGCTTCTCAGATTTGGAGCAGACCCTGTGCAGACAAAGGGCATTTCCACAGCTGGTCCCCTTGGAGCCTGGGCTCACCTAGATCTAAGTCCTGGTCCCCTTCTAGAGCCTGATGGAGGAACAATATTGGTGCATAATGTAGAGGAGAACTTTATTGCTTATACTGTGTTATTATTTGATGTTTGTCCCACTGCTTTAGTTTAGTTGTTATCATTTATTGTTTTTAGTTGTTATTGTTGGATAGCTCCGTTGGTAGAGCACGAGACTCTTAATCTCAGGGTCATGGGTTCAAGCCCCACATTGGGCAAAAAATTCCTGCATTGCAGGGGGTTGGACTAGATGACCCTGGTGGTCCCTTCCAGCTCTACAATTCTATGATTCTGTTGCATTTCAGCATTTTGGGCACTGCCCTGCCCTGAGAGAGAGATAACAGCTCAGGAGAATATGTCATAAGAATACTTGCTCACCCTAATGTTACCATCATGTGGTGCCCTCAAGCCTTCCAGATTGAACTACAAGGTGGTCAAAATTAACAGGGCTGTCCACTCTGTGATTATGCGTCTCGGTGGCTGAGTGGTAAACCATACTGACATTAAACCCAACAGGACCAGCTTAGGGAATGAACACTGGCTGGATGATGTCAGGCATTGCCTGGAGGAATGGTTGGTGAAGAAGAAGAAGAAGAAGAGTTTGGATTTGATATCCCACTTTATCACTACCCAAAGGAGTCTCAAAGCGGCTAACATTCTCCTTCCCTTTCTCCCCCACAACAAACACTCTGTGAGGTGTGTGGGGCTGAGAGACTTCAAAGATGTGTGACTAGCCCAAGGTCACCCAGCAGCTGCATGTGGAGGAGCAAAGACGCGAACCCAGTTCACCAGATTACGAGTCCACTGCTCTTAACCACTACACCACGCTGGCTCTCCAGTGAACTGCTAGCGGGTTTTCAGTTGTAGGTAGTCTTGGCAGTGAGATCACGATTTTGTGGTCTCGGGTGGCGGTTTTAGGCCTTGGGCAGAACCGCCCCTGAACCGAGCCGTCCGCTTGGCAAGTCCCCACATGCTGTGCTAAACCAGCACAGCGCGGAGCGAGGACGTGCTTCCACGGTGCCGGAAATCACGTTTGTGCAGATACAGATGTCAGAAATCGTGGGCGCACGCGCTCATGTGCGTGCGCAATCTGGCCCACAGAGGGATCTCCACTGGTGTGAACCGGCCCAGGTGAGGTGAACCTTGCCGACCCCTGGGCCCTAAGCCAAGGTTTTCTGCATCTGAAACTGTTAAGAAAGTTGTGGCTATTTCAGATCCCAAAATAGATTGTTGTGTAATTCATTGCTCTTGGACTGCCTCCTGGAGAGGTGGGGTTCTGCGCCTGGGCACACAAAACTTTTCCAGATGAGGCAGCAGAGTGAGCTGCAGAGGCTTCAAAGCACCTGACACTTCACAACAATAAGGTAGATTCAGCCCCTCTATTACCACCAGCCACTGAAATCCCAACCTGCTTTGAGAATAAGGCAGAGAAGCAAAAATATCTCCTTACTGGGGAGAGAAAACTTTTGAGAAATTGCATGGCTACTTTAAGCCCAGCACAAATCCTGAGTCCCAGGGCACTGATGATAGCAACCACCACTGGCTGGGGGAGTGACTGCTTTGCTCACGATAAGGTTTGTGGTGCATTTCTGCTTGTCCTCTTCTGTTTAATGGTTGGTCTTCTCTCCACTGATTCTGCAACGGCATGAGGTAACAACAAGAACACAAAGAGGAGGCAAGCTCAGGATGGCTTGTTTTCTGTTTGAACTACCAGCCAAACGTTCCTGTCTGTGTCCTGAAAGAGCCCTCCTTCCATTGCCCACATCCTGTCAGATACGGACTGCATTTCTATGCAAAGTTCCTTGGGAGTAAGTCCCACTGAATGGAATAGGATTGCTTCTGGATAAGCATACAGAGATTAGACTTCTAAACCGTAACCCTAATCTAGTTTATTTGACCTATGTGGGTGTTTTTTTTTAAGGGAATTGAGCCCAGCAACTTTCATGCCTCTTCAAGAATCACTTTAGTTTTGTAGATCCCAGTTAGTTACCGTATTTTTTGCACCATAACACTCACTTTTTTCCTCCTAGAAAGTAAGGGGAAATGTCTGTGCGTGTTATGGAGGGAATGCCTACGGGTGGCATGCCTACGGATTTTCCTCCTCTAAAAACTATGTGCGTGTTATGGTTGGGTGCGTGTTATAGAGCGAAAAATACGGTAGTTAGTAGATCCCAAACTGAGTAGGCAATGGGGAGATGGTAACTCATGAGCATTGTTTTTAGTTATTTGCATGGACAGGCAGAGTCCCCCCAACCCCAGGCAACCCCTGAGCAGAATAATGACTCAAGACAATGTGCTATGGGATTAAAATTGGCCACAACTTCATTAAATTTCAGATGTAGGGAGACCTTGGCTCAGGTATTGGGCGTTTATCCTTCCCAGTCCCCAGCCGGGGATCTGGGAGACATCAGGGTTATCCAGAATGTGTGGGGATTGGAGAACATATGTTCAAGCAGAGAGCCCACCCCCCATTTCACCGCCGTTGGAGGGGAGAGTAGTGACAACCATTTAACGGGGAACCCTGAGATCACCGCCGCAAGGGGGGCACGGGTCACCGTTTCATGCCCCCCCCCCCCATTTAGGAAGCTAGACCAAGGCCTGAAACCACCAAAGTTGTGACGTTTTGCTATGGGAAAGGCAAAACCTGACAATGCAGGAAAATTCCTTTCTGGCCCTTTAACAGCGGCCCTGATGTAGCAGCGCCTGCGGACCTGTGGAAAAGAAGTTAACCTGCAAAAGAAGACTTAACTGAGGGAGGGCAGGGTGGGAGAAGCTCTGGAGCCAACTGATGCTTCGCAGGTAAGATTCACCTTCTGTTGTGTGGTCAGGGTGGTCCCTCCCCTTACCCTGGCAACGGCTCCCCAGACGGGATTGGGTGATTGGCTGAGATAGGCAGAGACCTCCACATATCCAGCCTGGAGAGGATGAAGCCAGCCTGAACTACCAGGAGTCGCACTGGGATCCGGGGGGCTGTGCGCGACCACACAAAAGGCGCTCCCATTTGATGTGTGGAGCGGTCATCCCAGTACTTGTCATACAATAAAAATCTCCTAATAAAATTCATAAATTGATACAATTAATCAACCAATCATCAGATCAATATTGTGTGTGGCTCCAGCTTGTTTCCCTCCCCATGCAACAATGATAGAAATAAGGTTCCCATCCTTGGATTAAACTGATTTTTGGCAAATCTATGTTACTCCCCGGTGCTCTTCCACAACTCAGCATGCAAAATGTTTCATTATGCCTTGTTGCACTCTTACAAAATGACTATGGGGTGCTCACACAACTGAAAGCTAACATCTGACAAAGCCTTGAACTCCATTTGCCCTTGCACAACAAAGGAGATGTGTTTGCCCATCCAGCCAAGCCAGACATAGTGATGAACTGTGCATGTTTGCCCACCAGGAGCTTGGCTAACCTCTGCACTGTAGCGCCTGCCTGAACTGCAACAGCCATGGGGGAGGTGGGGGTGGGGGGTGGTCAAGCACTTAGCCAGCAGCCATGCATGGCTGGTGGGCTGAGTTGGGCTCAGAGTCCCATGCATGCTGGATGACCAGTAACCAACCAACCAACCAACCAACCAACCAACCAAACACACACAACACTCACCTCACTGTTGGCATCAGAAAAAAGATAATTTTGAAAAGCACACGCATAGCAGTTGAAGGTTGATGCAAATCTTTCCATGCACACTATGCTGCTGGCTTCTGCCATTTGTGAGGCATCAGTTTAATGACGCTCATCTTTCCATTTGAGGAGCAATTACTTGAAAGAGAAACAAAGTAAGCTGGGGCCCATTCACACCAGATGTGGTTCCACCTGGAAGCGTATTTTCCCAACATGCTCAGGGAAACAAGTGGCAGCCTGGCAGAGAGAAGGAACTCCAGTCAGGAACAACCAGATGGTGAAGAAGTTAAGCTTTTGAGAAACCTATGTCACTTTCTTCACAAAACGAACCAGATTAGCCACTAGAAAGGCGACTTGTGAGACTATGGAAATCTCTTGATAGGAAATGAGCTAATCTCTTTTCTCAGCTCAGCTGAGAATTAGTTGTCTTTTTTGCAAGTATTTTAAATTGGTTTTCACATGTGCTTTTCTACAGGATTCTCTTATATAATTCTGTCAGGATTGTTTGGAAGCATCTATCCAAAGTGAGGCAATCTTCTCCAACTGAAGTATCAGTAAGTATACATGACCACAACAAGCAAATTTGTAGAGATGTAGCTGATGACATATTTTGAAGACCCTTTTTATTAGTATATGAAATACCGTATTTTTCACTCTATAGGACGTACTTTCCCCCCTCCAAAAATGAAAGGGAAATGTGTGTGCATCCTATGGAGCGAATGCAGGCTTTCACTGAAGCCTGGAGAGCGAGAGGGAAGCTATCCGCAAGCCTTCAGAGCGCAGCGGGAGTGTCCGCCGGGCTCCGAAGGCTTGCGGATAGCAGCCTGCAGCCCAAAACCCGGGGAGCGCAGCGCTACACACCCCAGGCTTCGGGCAGATATCCGCAAGGAACTTTCGCCGGGCTCCGAAGGCTTGCGGATAGCAGCAAGCTCTGGGAGCGAAGGCGAGGTTGCGCACAACCTCGCCCCCGTTCCTGGACCCGTTCTGGGGGCTGGGATCGGGGGAAGCTCGGGCTTCCCCCACCCCAGCCCCACGGCTAAAAAGGAATCATAGAATCATAGAATCATAGAGTTGGAAGAGACCACAAGGGCCATCGAGTCCAACCCCCTGCCAAGCAGGAAACACCATCAGAGCACTCCTGACATATGGTTGTCAAGCCTCTGCTTAAAGACCTCCAAAGAAGGAGACTCCACCACACTCCTTGGCAGCAAATTCCACTGTCAAACAGCTCTTACTGTCAGGAAGTTCTTCCTAATGTTTAGGTGGAATCTTCTTTCTTGTAGTTTGGATCCATTGCTCCGTGTCCGCTTCTCTGGAGCAGCAGAAAACAACCTTTCTCCCTCCTCTATGTGACATCCTTTTATATATTTGAACATGGCTATCATATCACCCCTTAACCTCCTCTTCTCCAGGCTAAACATGCCCAGCTCCCTTAGCCGTTCCTCATAAGGCATCGTTTCCAGGCCTTTGACCATTTTGGTTGCCCTCCTCTGGACACGTTCCAGTTTGTCAGTGTCCTTCTTGAACTGTGGTGCCCAGAACTGGACACAGTACTCCAGGTGAGGTCTGACCAGAGCAGAATACAGTGG